ACCGTCACCACTAGAGTCACCGCTTGACTCAGCCTGCATGGCACCGGCGTCTGCAGTGATGAAACCGTCACCACTAGAGTCACCGCTTGATTCCGGATCAGCCTCTATGGCAGCGTTTTCTGCACTGAAGAAACCGTCGCCACTAGAGTCACCGCTTGATTCAGCCTGCATGGCGCCGGTGTCTGCAGTGAAGAAACCGTCGCCACCGGAGTCACCGCTTGACTCAGCTTGTATGGCAGCGTTTTCTGCACTGAAGAAACCGTCGCCACTAGAGTCGCCACTTGATTCCGGATCAGCCTGTATGGCACCGGTTTCTGCAGTGATGAAACCGTCACCACTAGAGTCACCGCTTGATTCAGCTTGTATGGCAGCGTTTTCTGCACTGAAGAAACCGTCGCCACTAGAGTCACCGCTTGATTCAGCCTGTATGGCGCCGGTTTCTACAGTCATGAAACCGTCGCCACTAGAGTCACCGCTTGATTCAGCTTGTATGGCAGTGTTTTCTGCACTGAAGAAACCGTCGCCACTAGAGTCACCGCTTGATTCAGCTTGTATGGCAGCGTTTTCTGCACTGAACAAACCGTCGCCACTAGAGTCACCGCTTGATTCCGGATCAGCCTCTATGGCACCGGTTTCTGCAGCGTTTTCTGCGTTCATGAAACCGTCACCACTAGAGTCACCGCTTGATTCAGCCTGCATGGCACCGGCGTCTGCAGTGATGAAACCGTCGCCACTAGAGTCACCGCTTGATTCAGCTTGTATGGCAACGTTTTCTGCTCTGAAGAAACCGTCGCCACTAGAGTCACCGCTTGATTCAGCCAGCATGGCTGCAGCAAACACCGAAGCCTTCCCGTCTCCGCTTGATTCCTTCTCATCTGGTTCATCTTGGGTGGACCCTACCTTGGTAGGCTTCTCATCAGCTTCAGCAGGGACGGACGCCTTGGCTCCAGAGCCGTCGTCGCCGTGCAGGGTTCTCTTCTTTCGGATTCTTTTCTCTCTGTGCCTGGGAATGTTGCTGAAAAACACAAAGAGACGGATCAGTACATGCTGGGACATTTACACATTTGTCAACTGGACAGTATAAAGATAAGAAACAAAGCAATGCAAAGTCATGCAAAGGTGGTGGTGTGGGTCAAGAGGTGTGGCGTTTCATTCTCTCATCAGCCTTGTGTAATGTTTCACTCCAAGTTTTACGTCTCGTCTTTCCCGAATGTAGTGCAACTTTCCGATAGTGACGGTTGACTCCAGCGTGTCGAATATGTGACTCCATGTTCGAAACAGATTCGAAGTGCTTTTCGAAGATTCGAACAGAATAGTGTTCGACAGAAACATCTGCTTGTGGCGAGGGGAAGGCCTAGGGGTGTGGACGTCACCAACGCCATTCGAATATGACGTAAATATCAATACTAGTCCCATGCCGTTATATTACGTACGTAAACGTTATTAGTATTTTCACGCACCGTACAGGACAAATTATTTTCAAAAGGATGTAATCCCATAAATTTACTTTATGATCTTCTTGTTGACTTGATTTTGTCTGAATTTGACATTACTTGCCACAGTTGAAATCTTAAGCAGTCCACATTTACTAGTTTGTGAATATTATACAACTTGAGGGCGGTCATCGTTACGGCACGTTCACTTTCACTTTCGTCGTGATTTTCAAACAGGCTGTGACAGAACTAACTGGGTTTACGACAGCCTTTTTCGTAACAAGACAGCTGAATAGCAAAGGAAAGTGATCCAGTTATATTGTACGAGGCATGCACGGCTATCCCAAGGATGCACAACGAATGTGGCCAGGTCCTGAGGCAGAGAACTAGGTACTTTTCCCTCTGTCTGTTTGGACAAGGTAGGTACGTGAACCCTAGCAATCCAAGGTTTTCAACCGTCCATAGTAACCACGGCCTAACATGTACCCTTATTGAGGGACATTAAGCGTCAGGTAGTCGGTAGTGTGTAGCTCGGGAAAGAAAAGAAATGGAACACAAAACAAATGAACATGGCTGATGAGAGTTTATTTGAAATATTCCGTCTTGATGCAGATAGAAGTGAAAGGTTATTCCGTGACCAGCACCACCACCAGTTGAGTAAATAGCCGGCTGATCTCTACCTAGCAAAATCGGCAACATCTTCATCTTCCTCCTCATCTTCAGTGGCATTTTCATCATCTTCCTCATCTTCAGTTTCATCTTCATCATCATCTTCCTCCTCATCTTCTGTGTCATCTTCCTCATCTTCATCTTCTGTGTCATTTTCATCATCATCTTCCTCCTCATCTTCTGTGTCATCTTCATCGTCGTCCTCCCCGTCGTCAGTGTCATCTTCATCATCATCGTCTTCTTCAGTGTCGTCTTCATCCTCATCATCGTCGTCATCTTCGTCTCCCTCGGTGTCATTGGATTCGTCCTACAGAGCACAAGGAAGGGATGTATAAGTGACGTCATTTCCGGCCATAGATTACTACTACTTGTAGTGCTACATGTAGTTGTAGTTCTGCATTCGGCCCGATACTGACGAACATCTACTGGCTCCATTCTAAGGTGTGGTCACACAATAAGACAACACCACTGAGGAGTTATGTGTTTTCAATAAACCAATCATAAAGAGTTAATCATTACTAGCATATGTTATCAGTGACAAGTTTTAGCAAAGATTTAGATTTTAGTGTTACCAAGCTGTTTTACATAGCGATACTTACTTTGTCTGCGTCTTCAAGTGGTTCTAAAAGTTCGGGTGGCAGCATGATGTCAGCCTCGTGTGCACCTGGGGACGGCTCCTCTTCCGGGTGTTCCTCCAGCTCATCCTCAAGCGCTTTCTGAACAAATCAACCAGGCACGGACGAAACGTGAGGCGAGAAATTTACAATTATGAAAAAACGTGAGGCGAGAAATTTACAATTATGAAAGGAAAAAAAAAAACAAGAATTTACCGAGAAGTCTTTTATTTATTTGTTTTATATGTTTTGACTACAGCAAGTAAATTATATAGATGTTGACCACCGTCAGAGAGCAACAAATTTGTTTTTTCTTTCTTTCGAAATCTGGTGAAAATCAATGCGCCATCCATAAAATTACTTGCTGTTGCCTTAGTTATGCTTAGGTCACATTTACAAACCGGGGCCCGGCCGTGCTGTTTGTATAAACGAAAAATTAACCATTCATATCAAGAATATACAGATATAGTGCCCATGAGTATTATTAAAAACCTTTCTGTGTTTAGTTGTCTTTTATATCGTACTTTTCGTTCCCAAAAGCTGCCCGGCCGGGCCCCGTGTGGGAACTGTGACCTCAGCATTAGTTGGGATATCGCGATTTCACAATGCTGCAATATGTTTGTGCATGCGGCAATGTTTGTCTAACCTCTTCTTGAAGCCCAGTTTCTTGCTGCTTTTCTATGAATTCCAGCTCCTCGTCGTTCTCTGCGTCTTGGAAAGCCTTCTCCAACTCTGGGTCGTTAGTCGAGTCGGCGGTGACGTCATCGTCGGTGATCTGACAATACCATATCAAATATCATTTCAAACGTGGCAAATGAACTCGGGCCAACCTACAGCACGGATGTATACACTTGGATTCGATGAAAACGACATACTCGTTTGTATCAGACCGACTGAATCAACTGGTCATGTGAGAGACGATATGACGTTATAATCATAGTAAAGCTAACGTTAGAAAAGAACACGAAGGCCCAGGGTAGTTCAATACATTCACATGACCCACTTTCGGTCCTCGTCTCTGTAGGTCACGTGCGTGCCTATTTTCATTTCTCAGGTTTAAACAGTTTCAATTTTATAGCTGCTAGAGTGGAGTGAGGTGTAATAGTGGAGACATATGAATTCAAGGTGGTCATTTTGGTTCTGAATACGTTCCGTAACTTCCGTTGATTTTTGTTTCTTACACTCATTTTCCCTACACAAAGAAGAACGAAATTTGGCACACATATCAGATATCACGAGACTATGCGGCGTGCTAAGTTTTGTTCATGAAAAGCCTATCTAGGCCCATGCGAAATCCTTATTGATTTTTTTTTGAGCTGCCTTCGTATTTCTCAAACTACGTCTCTTCTTCGAAACTCCACCTGCCACGCATGTATCCAAAATTTGATTTTGTGAATGGATGGATAAACGATCAACTCAATGAAATTGACGGAGGATCTGCACAAGTATAAAGGTGTTCTGCATTCAACGAAAAAGCCAATCTTGATTAGCTCACACAAGGCAAATAATAAGTAACAACGAATGAACTTTGGGCGGAAGTTTTGTGACTATTCTAACTAAACGTGTACTGATTTGCATGAGTGCCCCCCCCCCCTTCGAATTTCTCAGATGACAGCATAATGGCAGACATATTATCCATTTGCACTGTAAAAGTCTGGCATATAAGTAACGATGTAAAACACCGAATCGTCTATTCTGGCCAGATTCCGTTAGTATTGAGAAGATGACTCTAGTTTCGTTGAGTCTTGATGGCCCACGATGTTTTGTACGTGAGATAGGTTTCAATATCCTTCCGAAAATGCCGAACAGGTAATTACGCAAGCCGTCCTACTCCTTACTTCTGAATGCATTTCTGGATCAGCCTCTCGACATGTGTGGACATTGAAACGAAAGAAAGAAATGTTGTTGTCATATTTTTCAAGGTGTCGCAGAGTTTGGCATTTGCATGCGACATTAAATCTTGAATGCGACGAAATTAGTGATTTTCTCATCATCGGTATACCAGTACTACAAGAGAATATGTTCATTCTTACCTCGTTGTCCTGTTGTCCTGCTGGTCTTGACGACACACTCACAACGAGAAATAGCAGGAGGACGGAGAAAAGAGGAATACGGCCCATTTTGGTCAGTTGAAATCTTCCCTAACCGTACAGGTGGTCTGCTTGCTTCGTCTGGGTAGATGTTAGAAAAGTTGTGGTTCAAATAGCTCCGAACACTCCTGTACCGTACTCGTGTTCTGGGACGAACCATTCTACCCAAAAGGGGAGAGCATCGTTGTTACAATCTTTTATTTCAAGTAACGCTGCATACAAATGAGCCAATTGCTTTCTTCGGGAGAATGGGAGAACTGACGTTAACAATTTTCTTAAAGGTTGTTATCAAAGTTTGAAATCTGGTTCGTAGGAATTTTCTTTTTCTAACTTTATAGGAAACTGTTTTTACCAAGAGTGGGAATGGTTCGTTCATATGACGTGCGTCTTTAGACAGATGACGTAGATCTCTAGACAGTCTGGGCTCTTTGCACTGACTACAAAACGCACTTACGGATTCACATTGTCGGGATTTCTTAGTTGTTACAATGTAAAAGACCGAATTTACGTAGGTAGACAGAGTGGGGGCATTATGCACTGTGAACTGACTCGCAGAAACTCCCAGACATGCTACTCCCGAGGTGTAGCAACTGATTGTATAGACCGAGATCATGTTACAGCGAACGCAACGTTTCCAGTTGCAATGATTGGTATAGCTTTTAAACTATGTAAATTTGCTCGTGCTTGTTTCAAAAAGAGAGATGTGGTCTTGTAGATATAGACGTAGCGCAGTAATATAGTACTTGTGAGAGATGTGGTCTTGTAGATATAGACGTAGCGCAGTAATGTAGCACTTGTTCCTTCTTACCCTTATACCTCAGTTATCCAACGCAGTGCATTTGGCCCATTTAGGGTGTGAATATATGCAATAAAGTTCATTATCATTTATAACCAGTGGAAAATTTTTAAAACAGTGGGAAGGTCTGCTCTTCCAAATGTTCATGCAAGATATTTGGTTAACTACAATGTGCCGTGTGTCTTGCACTAAATTCTCTTCTCGGAGTTTCTTTGTGACAGAGTTGTTGGCTGGCCGTACAAGCTGGCCGTACGTAAAGTTACATGGTTTCGTTCTGAAGACATCCGCTAGATGACGCTTCAGTACGGTGAGGAAAATCTACACGCACATGTTCGGAGGTTCTCTACAAGCTGTTACATCTTACAAACCTCTCGATATGTCTTGTCTTCGCCAGACTTCTTTTCTTAGCTGATGATGCCACAGGGTTCATGGAATGGAATCTTGTTGTTGTTCCACAACTTATTGCCATGACTACGAACAACAGAAGAAGGTTGTTTACTTCTTAGTATTTGTTCTAGAACGGTTTTAACTTCAACAGCTGCTGATTGGTTGACATTTGACATGAGAAGTTCTACTTTTCCTTTGTTTAGTGACGACACAATACACTAAGTCATCATAAAAGTCGCCCGACTACATGCTATAGAAATAAACACGGGCAGAAATCTTTTTCGACATCCAGTCAGCCAAAGAAATGAGAACCAGGAGAAAGCTGTACAGACAAAAACAAACCAAGAAGCCAAGGACCAGTGACACGATGACAAAACCGACGGAGGAAAGTGAGGAGACTTACGTGTGCAGCAGGTGCCGGGACCGTGGTGGGGACTCAGGCGGGCTGTTCAGGACGTGTGTCGGCTGTGTGAGCTTCGGCATGTGGCTGCTGTTCTGCTACCTGGTACGTACCTCGCAAAATGAAAACTCGCCTGGCAAGACCTATACACACACGCAAAACACGTCCATGACATACACGCACACACACACACACACACACACACGTGCACAGATACATGCGCGAACACACACGGACACAGACACACACACACACACACACACACACATACATACATGTACAAACCACACACACAGATACATGCACACACACGGATAAACACAACCACACACGCACGCAGACACTCACACACATACAGAGAGAGAGCGAGAGCTCTAGAGAAACACACACACACACACACCCACACACACACATACAGACAGATACATATACTGACACGCACTCATGCAGACACTAAAACAATGCCATCACGGTAGGCAAAAAGGGGATAACGGTTGGTTGATCTGCATATGTCTTCAAATAATTTGCATGTAACGTTATATCATGTAACAAAAACAGCGATCGCTCGTGTAGGTAATGCACTTGTACACTTTTCTGTCTTTACAGATATTCCGTATGGTGTTGTTGGCCCTGTACCCCGGGCTGGCGGAGGCTGAGGACGGGATTGGTCAGGATCCGGTCACGTGTGTCCAACTGACGCTTCCGTCACGTACAATGGCCAACATCCGGGGTAGAATGTCGCAACTTCAGTTCAGAAATATTTGAACATTTCAAAGACTGCGCCAGACGTCCAGTTAATAATGGCTGATATCCATTTTTCCTGCAATGTTTGCCACTCTTACAAATTGTCAGAAACGGCACACACTTAGGCCAACTTGGTTACAAAATCTTTGACATCAAAAGTTTCAACACTGAACAGTTGTACGATATTAAAACCTAGAAAAAGGTTCATACTTCTTTTATCATTGGCGCCATCTTGCAGGTTCAACTAGTATTGCATCAACTTAGTTGTCGCCAAGGTGTTACCTGTGTTTGTTGTTTGAGTGTGATGGCGTCGTAAAACAATGCACATGTTTTCTACATACTAGTTTTGTCACAACTGTGGAAAAAACATGTAAAAACCTGGGGATATGCTGGTTATAGTTATGTAATTTGAAAACAATTATCTGTGTTGACGTTCTAAACAATGGTGAGCATGAACTCATTGTTGGCAACATCGTTGATTAATGTGTCGTTTTAAGCCGTCCTCTTGTCGTTACAGTAAAAGTAGAACACCAATATTTCAGGTGTTACTTGTCTGTGGACGGTCCTGTCACTCCTATGTTTGCCCCTCCCCGGTATAACCTTTACTTTGCGTGTGTCTGCACTCTTTACAGAACTAGAACCGACCGGCCTGTCTGTCTGCGTGCCCATGGTATTTATTTGTGACACAAATCGCACTATTTACCTGTCACAAACAAAATAGTCAGCATTCTCCGGGCCCTCAGCGCGTGTAGAACCACCGGGCACGCGAAGTCAGGAATTTGTGTGCTCTAGAGATTGAGGTCTGCTCTGACGTGGGAACAGTCTTGGAAGTTAATATCGTAAGGTAGCTTCAACGTCGGTTCACAGCGTTTCTAAAACATACAGAATGTAACCATTCATATCGATCTATAACTGTAGCGTTGGACACCCCAAATTAAGTCCAATAAATCCATGTTTACCCATGTAAGAAGTTGGCAGCGCAGATAGCAGCACGTACTGCGCCTGTGCGAAACCCGGAGAGTACATGCGCATAGTAGCATCCGCTACTCTTCATCAGCTGACAAAATCTTCATCAGCACTTCAGGGCAGACAAATTAAAAAGTAATGCATGCTACTTGAAACGTCTGACAGTTTTCAAAATCAGTTGCTTGCGTAACAGTTTTCCTCTGTATCTAATTACATGAATACCTAACATTCATCAACGTAAATTCATTTTTATAAAAAAACCTCCTGAAAGGGTCTTGTCGTAAACATTGTTCATTGCTTCACTAAAATTCCACATAAGATCGTTCATCATGTTTTAAGAGGCCTACATGTCCTACCCACGGACACTAGAGTGATTTCATAAACACCTACACAAAGCACGCTTTTGACTGACAGCTTCCATTGCCTCGAGTGGAAAACAAAAGCCACTCTGTATGAACGAACACTTCCAACCCGGTTAGATTTAATTATTCATTAATTGTTTGTAAAATAGGTCCGTTCCCCCGGCTATAGAAACTTGACGTGCCCTGTGACGGGTTGTCAGCCCGCCCGACTCCCACCGAGGACGGACAATGCCGAAGATGTGCGGTAGCTAGGTTTCTGCCCGGAAGCAATCGTCTTTTCAGCGGCATGAGAATGCAGGCGATTTGACAAACGGGAAGGATGCCAAAGACTAAAGAATCGGGCGGGCTCAGCAAACTGTACAATCCGCACAGTGGGCGACTAAACACTGGGTTGTGCTTGGGTTAACCTGTTCTTCGTGTCCCTCTTTGTTCGAGGGGGAGCTGAAAGCACGAATCTATTGTTCTCATCATCCTGTGTGGTTAACTCACGTGTACCAACCTTTCTCGATTCCCAGAGAGGTAAGTCTATGCAATGTGCGATACACTACCTGAGCTGTTACTAGGGAGACAGAACTGGCGAATCTGTCCCGTCTGTTACCTTCGACAAGAAAGATATGTTTACGGTACCATTTAAGGCTGTGTCTGTTTATGATTACTCCATTTATTGGCATACTTAATTCAATATTCAAGAAGTTATGATATTTGGTACGTGTAGACAAATCAAAGGACCTTCTAGCGACTTTCTAAGGTACTGCAGAGGAACCTCCATTTTTGATATCTCATGTTTTGAGTGTTTATGGTTATTTTGAGTGGCAGGTAGCTTGTATATGGACCCTAGGCCTAGCATACGAAGCTATATTTGGGTTCTCTGGCAACTTTTCTGGGAACTGCAGGCGTGATTTTATCGGAAACTTTGAAACAAGAACTCAAGATGGGTTGAACGGATTCGTGTGATTCTTGGATTATGAATAGTTCATAGCCCAAGGTTTAGTGTTCATTATCAAGTAGAGTAAAGTTACTATTCCACTATTGTTAATCGTATGATCCAACTCATTGCATAAGTTAATTGTCGCTAATATATCAACATAACGGACAAAGGCTCCAAGAGAAAAGAAACAGTCAGCAGCGAAGAGGTAGTTTATCATTTATTTACAAGAAGAAATATTCATTTTGGGCAAGTACAACCTCGCCAAATAAATAAATGTCAGTCATGTAGTCTTGACAATTATGTACATCACTAGGAACCTGTCAAGACAGTCACGTCATAGAACGTGGGCTCCACGTCAAATTCCGTTTCCGGTATAAATTAAATGCCTTCTTCTTCGATTACATGTTTCATTTCCGGTTATTCCGACTCTACCATCTAATGGTTTGTCGCAAAGGGCGCGCCACAGAGGCGTTGCCAAAAGCCGTGTCAACTGAGCAACAAGTTCATTCATATTTTGTTTCTTCTCCGCTGCTTGGACTTTTTCCTGACGTTTTTCCTCCGGTTTTTGCTCTCCCTCTGGACGCAGATGTACTTGGTGACGGTCTTGGTGCACTGCGAACACTTGACGGAGCAACACCAGTGGAACTTGCAGTTGCAGCTGCTGGTCACTTCAGTCGTGATCCGTTTCGGAACGTATCCGCAGTCTTTACACAGGCGTTTGCAACTCTTCTTCTCGTACTTGTCCGTGGTTTTCCCGCCGCGGATGCACTCCCTTCCCAGGGTTCCCCGCGAGCCGACCGTGAGGTTCTCCCTGCAGTAGTCGGGAGAATCCTCCAGGAACACCATGTCCTTCTTCAGCCCGGGGTTCCTCTTGGAGCTGGCGCTGTTGTTCTCCGTCAGTTGCCCGCGCACGTAGTCCACCTTGTCCGCCTTCTTGTACTTCTTCTTCAGAAAGACGCCGATGGCGCGAAAGTCGGCGAGCTGGAGCCAGCAGGTCTTGGTCGTGCAGCTGCCGGACACGCCGTGACACTTACACACCCGCTTCATGGTCTGTCTCACCGCCTGCAGGGGCAGAAAAAAACACCAACACCGCACATGAGAATCGCCTAAAAATCATAAACTGGTCGACTGTCTTCTAGCTTGCACTTCTAGCTAGAGATTTGGTAGCAGACTGGCTTTTAATTCTGAATCATTTACTTCAAGGAGTAGCCTGGTATACATCGTTCTCCGGTTCACTCCTTCTTCACAGAATGTTCGTCAAGGACAGCGATCGAAGGAGCAAACCGGAGCTAGAATAGGCTGGGAACTAGGCTACAGACTCAACAGCAGGTCAGGGGTGTCTGTGGTGAAATTTCGTTGGAGCATGTTGGCCCCGGAACCGAGGAGCTGGCTTGTGTAGGCCCTGGCTATGAACTATGAGGAAATTTGGGGAGAAGACCAGCGCTGTTCCGGATGGGTAGCGCCGTCCTCCGCCGATGGAAGGACGAGGTCATATCAGCGGGAAGTGTGGACGGATGGCCCGGCCAGACAGACCTGTCACTACCGTGGGAAAGATGTAATCTGCCAGACGTACGTAATACAAGCGGCTTAAACAAAGTTCTAGCATCGAAGGTCGCAGTGTTAATTCAAAACTACGCTGCCGGGTCTTTAACTATGTGCATTGGGTAATGAAGGCTTAGGGTAATGCGTTCTGCCATAGTTACAGCCAGTGCACCTGTTCAATAGCGCGGTCACATACGACTTTTATGCAGGAGATTTTTCACGTCGGTTGTAACAGAACTGAAGCAACCACCGACAAGGATCTAAGACGGCCATTTACGTGAAAAATGTAGCAGAATTTTACAGGAATCCCAAGAATGCCCTCAGTTGGCTATCGTTGTACGGCGTGCGCGACCGAGCCCTAAGAGGCAGACATAAGGAAAACGACGAGAAGTTTAGAAAAGGTGACTCGCCTCCCTGCCGACGTCGTTGTTGTGCCGGTTCATGGCGGCCCGGGCGTCCTGGCCGTTCTCCACTCCGTCCGTGTACATCTCCGAGATCTCCTCCCCGAAGGCGATGTCGTCACTACAGCCGCCCCACGTCCAGCCGCCCTCCGCTTCTGCAGGGCACAGACACGTCAGAGAGATGATCAAACGAGAGAAAACAAGACATCGGAGATTTCAAACCCGTGGGAAGTATATGAGATTTACTGTGAATTCACTGGCACAACCTAAGAGATGATCTGACGTACTTTCAAAGGACCTTTTACTTTCGAGAAACTGGCCCTGGAAATAGTCTGGCACCCAGGCTATGAAACATTTAATTCGGGTAAGGAAACATAATGGGACAGGCAAATGTCGCCCTTACTCTTCCCGTTGTTGGTCAGGTCGCAGCCGCATTGCTCGAAAGCGCCCTTGCTGCAGTTCCGAGTCAGGACGTACATCACACCGGCGGCGCTAATCGCGTGCACGAAAGACGTCTCCCGATTGGCTGTAAAACAAAAGGAAAAGTCAACATCATTTGACTGTCAACACAGCCTCTCTACAAGAATTGAAGAATGAAAATAAGAGAAAGTACTGTCTGAAGCCAAGCAAACTGAAAACACGTTTTAACACTTAAAATGTTATGAGAATAACACTTCTTTCATAGTTTTGTACATTGTGTATTGTTTCTCTAACGTCTGTGTATCTATCTGCTTGGTAGTCTCATACTAATTGCCATCTGGTATTCCCCCTTCTTAAGAGACCAAAACAAGGGATATTGCTACAGAATGCCAAATACATAAACAAACATAAGTTAAACAAACAGGACGGAGAGTTGGAAGGATAGCTGGGTCCGTCATGTCGGATTTGTATGGCAGAACTAGACAAGCAGTAAGTCAGTCCGATTACCTGTATCACTGAACTCCACGGTGCTTAGTCTAGACTAGAGGAAAATATCTGGCAAACACAGCTGTCCCATAGCCAACTCTTCAATATACCATGTATAACTGTGGTGTTTGCCTGCTCGTACAACTATCGCACCCGATTAGTTTGGTAATCTTCGGAGGATATATAAGATGTCTAGACTTTTGGACTCAAGTGTACTGGATCACGTCTTTTGTTTTCGTTTCAAGCGTTCAACAACTTACTCCAGCAGTGGTGACGACGTCGATAACGTTAGAATATTCGCACCGCATTTTGACGGGGAAAGGGTCTGTCGAAAAGAGATGCTGGGATACAAATACGTTCTCATAGTCTAGGAAAATTCGCCAGGTTTTCATTTTAGTAGTGGTTAGGCCCGTCTTGTCTTTTAGACTCTTTTATGCGTTTTGTTGAGCTTTCTATTTTGTCAGCTTTTCTTTCTTTGGGTATTTAGACGGTACAGCAAAAAAGCGTCCAAGGCAAGCCTAACGGGTACTGGGAGAGTAGGCAGGTTTTCTGTGCACAGGGCCCGCCGGGTGAGCACGGTAACGCGGGGAGTGATTGACACGACGGTGAAAGGGTCCCGTTCCGCTCATCATGGCGCTAACAGCGGCGTGGAGAGGCTTTATCTCGTGTGTGGGCATTCCCCATATCCCTCATCACCTGGCTGCACCGGCAACCCAAAGCTTCTCACGGACGGCCATTCATTCCCACATTGCAGCAACCGCTGTGTCCACTGCCCATACGCACCCACATGGAAAATTAGCCGCCGTATTTTTCAGGTCAGTTTTCTCTCCGACATACCGAAGACATTGTGTCCTTGACTTTGTTTCTCTTGCCCTTGTTCCCTGCCATTTTTGTGGGCTTTACTACTCTAAAACGGCACGGCTTATGGAGAATCCTAAGTCCCCGTGCTAAGAAAAACACGTCCCCGACTGCTGAGATGCAGACTGAAGAATCAAGACATCTTCGCCTGCTCGCTGTGAAAGAACTGGGCACTGTGCCATTCCAAGGAAAACGAGAAGCCCAGAAAAATCACAGATCCAAGACAGATAAATATTTCTAGTCCACGATCACAAACTAAAGAGGTGTTGAAAACCTGTGAAAAATTATAAAAGCGCTTGTCGTCAGTTTTAGTCCTGTGAATGGCCAGACGATTATTATGTTTCTGACATACTACACGGTGTAAATAATAGCTTTCATACGTGCCCTCCCGCTACTGAATCGGATCTGCGGCACAGAGCCAATGGCGGGTTGGGGCAAGCCCACCTTTACATCCTGCCTGCCGAAAGTCATCTTGCCACCGTACCTGGCGATCAATATTATATTTCTTTAAAGTAAAGGAGTATTTAATCCCCGTTAAATGATTTTCTGCACAGGTGGGCGGTTGTTTGACGTGCAGTGTTTGTCCGGGCTGTCAGTGACTTCCCTGTCTGCGTTGTTGAGCGGCGGTGAAGCGCGGACAGGGCGGACGGCGCTGTGTTCTCCTGTCACACGACACAGCCGCTGATGGATGGCAACGTAAACTGTCCGACCGCCGAGGTTTATGGATGGATGTGGAGGGCGACATGTAGCAACCACAGGAAAACACAACGAAGTACACACAAGTGCATCTCACTACGGCAGTAATATCTAGTGTTCTGGATAGATATCAGATAAAAATACCAGTAAACACCAACATGTGTTGACGTACGCGTCTTTCTGTCGACGTCACTTCGAAATAGCATGGAGGTAAACGAAATACTAAGGTGATCATGCCACATACGATTGCAACAATCTGTGCCCTTAAGCTTTAAGTCTAATCCTAGAATATTTTTCGACTTAATGTTATACCAGAAAGCAGGATGTTCTGGTCTTAAGAAACCCGTATTAGAGCGGACAAGAGAATCGAACCCCACCCAGTCAGTCAACATGACATCGCAGCTGTGCGATCGTTCCTGTACAGCGGGCCTCGTGCCCCAATACTTGTGTGAATGTGTCAAAGCTCCTGTAAGGAATTTAGTTGATAAATATAATAAAGGCGATGTAGGCGTATTTACACATTTGACACCGGCTTGAATCAAAGTAGGACAGCTGTTACAGAGAACAACTCTCCGGGATGTTTGACTCGGACTCGGGGCTTAGAACGTGACAAGCCAGGTGAAAAACAATCACTAGTACACCAGCAAGCGCGAAAAGAGATGAAAATTCATATCCCCGTAGCTTTTACCACATGGGGAAACAGGTGACATGGGGATTTGTGGAGATAGGAAGGACGTGCGAGTTTTAGACACAAGACACGAAGCTTAAATCCTGTCGTGTCTGTTCGCATTGCAGCTGGTACCATATTTGCCAAAAGTATCTGAAGGGTATGGTCGTAGTGGGCCGGGTCCGACAGCTTGCCCTCTCGCTTACGGCGTGATCATATTTTTCGTACGATTCATGATGTCGTAAAATTTTCAAGCAAGCTGTGACGAACCAACCGCCGACGACGGTCTAAGATATACTTTTTCCGTAGCAAGACAGCTGAATTTTGCACTCATTGTGCTCAACAATCCCAGTAACGCATTCAACTTATGCGACGTATGCGATCGTGTACTGGTACCTAAACAACGAGGTTTAACCTCCTTGACCAAATGTAGCATTTCATGTTTGAAGTCGCGTTGTTTTTTTAATATTAATTAGTAGCTTCTTTTCAAAATCCCGAAACTACAAATGAATGAATGAAAATAAACAAGGGGGGCTTAAACGGGCAGGGGGTTCGACGCATGCTATGGAATCATACAAATTCATGATACAGAACACATATGGTTTCATAGACCAGAATATCAATAAGATAGTTTCTTCCTGTGTAATTTTTCGTCACGGTCTTGACTTGGGCCATTTTACTGCCGATCAGATGCTATGTCAGTAAGGTACATTAGTAGTACCAATAAGTATAATAACATGAAAACTTCAATCGGATGAGATTGCCCATCGTCTTTCGCTTATCACAAAGACACCCTGATTCCCAAAGCGAGAAATACCAGCGACTGGTCATTATTTTAGAGCTAGGTGGAACTTACAGACCCATGTCATCCACCGTGTGGGAACGTTGCTACGGTTGGAAAGTTTTTTTCTGGGTGGCCTAGTTACTGTATCTTTGATCCCAATGGCAGATTAAGGCGCCCTTTTGCTGATGATCTCCCGCCGGCCAGGTAATTTCCGTTGTCCCGCATGTAGCCGGACCACGTCACCGACACCGACTCGTCGGCGTGCCCTTCTGAAGTTCTGTCCCAAAACTGACGCCGTAACTTTCATTATTCTCAAAACAAACATGATATGATCTTTAATATTTATCATAAAACTAAGTGTAAAATGGCCATACGGCTACTTTTCTAGTCGTTTTCGTCAAATCTGGGAGTTGTACCTATGAGTCCAACTTGTGCTCATTCTGGCAGTGTGACTTAAATTGGGCTGTGTGGTGCTGTATGCAATGATAATGCATCACATAAGAGTTGACAGTTTTGTGTTGCGATATTTTGCCCCTAGCCCCCCAGGAAGATTACCTTGACACATAAATCAATCATGCCTCGAAAGAAGAAGGACTCGGTGACCTCAATATCAATATTACTAAAGGGAGGGGGCACAAAGGCATGGAACTCAAACCTCCCCCTCCCTGTTTCCAAACGCATCGTGCACTTGTGATGGGCACAGCCAGGCTCGATACCTTTGAAGGCATGAGAAAGAGCAAGAATCAACAAAGTCAAGCGTCTGAGCGTACACCGACCCCTTGCACCAAAACACACCCGCACTGCCAGCCACTGAAAAAAGTCACGGGCCAAAAAACAAACGTTGATTGTTGTGCAAACCGTGACTGTAGTGGAAGTCAGGGATTTCCAACTTTTATCCCTTTATCCGCGATATTTGTACCAAAACAAGGCAGTGAAATCAAATGCCGGGGCTCTTTCCGGTCATGTTACAGTAAACAAAGTGGGGAACCTGTCCATCAGAAGGTGAATACGGGAACTGGTCACAACACTAGTTCTGAGGAGAATTTCCCCGTTTTTTGGCTCATATTTGGAAGGGAACCCTGGCCTGTGGCTTCAGTACTGACATCAGGTGGACCCGGGAGTGGCGCATGTTGTGTTCTGACCGAACACCTGTGTACCTCCGCCCCATCCCGTACAGGTATACCAACAGGTAAGGTTTCTCGCTGGAACATTAGCCCTCGCATGTGGTCACCCGGCTGTGCTTCTAGCTTCCTGTCGAGGGCACGCTATACACCCCTGATTGGGCACTTAACACTCTGGAAGTTTGCGGAAGTCAAGTTTACATGTTTAAATCCCGAGCCCTCCTGACACGGTACACACCCCATGTTAAGTCACCACCGTCTCTCGCACACAAAAACGTCTTTGTTCTACCTCGCTCAGGTGATATCAACGCATCAGCAATGCTTGTACCAAAGATGAGCAGCAAATAGCCATGCTACATAGATACGGCAAGCCGAAAATACGACTAGGGCTACAAGTGTCCTGATAGAATGTACGGGGCATGCCTGGTCCAATGCCATGTTCCTAGCGGTCTCTCCCCTCTCGCTATTGCCGAATACCTGAGGACAGGTGAGACTAGCTTGGCAGGAGGATTACCTGGGCTTAGGTGTTTGTCACGGAAGGGTATCAAACTAAGCCTGACGATCCGACAACACATCTACCCGCCTCCATATCAACACACAACCATCCACGATATGCTCTACACAGCATGTACCATCCTTCAATACCACGGACACATGCCGTCCGTACAAACAACTATCCGACCAGATGTTATAGCGATCTACAAATAATTTTATTGATCGCACAATAATGAACTGTGACCTTCTATAACGTAGCTCCTTTATACGAGTACATAGCTACATTCGTCGTAGGTCACCACACGATTTTGATGTCGTAGGATTTTCACAGAACCAACCGCCGACAAGGATTTTCAATACTAAGACAAATAAATTATGTACGAAATCTCCACAACTACCCCAAATTTTGCGATCGTGCATATGACCAGACCCATAGGAACGTAAACACTGTGCTAGTAGGTACGACAAAACCAGGCACTCTTTCTCACACTGTTTTCCTCAGGAAGAGAGGGTGGGCGACCCTATCACCTATGGGTCATCAGAACAGGACACAGGTCTACACGACTATAACCGCAACATATTCTGTACATATGTAACATGGAGGGAGGGCTCTGTGGGTGGTAGAACTAGAACGACAAGGCAAAATATGACACGGTAGAAAATAAGATCTTTTTACCATCTATCAGCCATTTCTACTCTTGAAATTTGGGATGATACATGTGGACTTCCTTGTTGTCGTTTCACTCGAACCCTACATACTACACATTGGATTTGAATCGGATTTTTTGTCAGTTTGAAAGAGTTTGAATATAATAGTAACTGGGTAAATTCGTCTCCCACTGCCTCAAAAGAAGAAGTCAAATCCAACAAAACTAGTATGTTGTAGAATGTAATATAACTTTGCACATAGCCTCTCATATCATTGTATCTTCTTTGTCATACACATTGTTGTTTGCATTTGCACTTAGTCCTCGGGCATGATTTAATAAACTTTCACAAATAACCCTTCCGATTTGGGCCTTAACTGACTTTCACAAAATCTAGAATTGTACAGAAGAGAGTACTGACCGGGTAGGGTGTTGGGTTTGAACATGGACAGCGCGTTGTCGGTGCAGTTCCACCTGTCCCAGGAGAACTGGTACTTGCACTCCTCCATGGCGGTCTGCGCGCCCGCGGCCACGCTGCTCGCGTACTCGTACGTCTGGGACGCCTGCAAGGACGACTGGTGGGTCAACATTTACAAGTTACAACACAACTACTTTCCAGCAGAGGTTTAGGTTTTGGCTTATTTTGGCGTGTTTCTTTTTTAGACTTTTTAAATAGGGGTTTCTATTTTGCACTGGATTTTTTTCACGGTGCAAAAAAGAAACCCGATAAAAAAAGCCTAAAACACGCAAAAATAAGCCAAAACACAAACCTCTGCTTGGAGAGTACAATACAACGCAAATCGTTAGGCAGGAAAAGATTCGAAGCATCTCAAACACTACAATTTTTATATAGAATATAGAATGCAGTAGAATACTAGTACTAGTATAACATGACGACTTAATCATACAATGTGTGTTACGGAATGAATGACAGTCGAGCATACTACTAGTAATATTGACTGAAACCACGATAACAGGATTTCAAATGTTGATGGGGGTACGAGTTTTTCGTCATGTCACTCAAAAACAACGCTTAGATACTAGGTGGCTAAGCACTGTCCTCTGACACTTTGAGGGGAGGGAGGTCCTCTATCAGGTGATCTGGGCTTCGATTTCATTTACAAATGTATCATGATTCACGTTTAAGTGAGATTCACACAAGACAACAGGAATACCAACAGCAACTCGTGCAAGCAGTTGGTCCGATGGAAGCGTTTGAATAGCAGCTATATAGTGATTCAAACATTATACTGAAGTGGTAACACCTTCGCATCCCTGTCTGGCTATTAGTATCAGGTCACTCTCTCTATACCGTCTAATGAAGTAGTGGTATTTGTTGACGTGTTTTACATTAAGTGTTAAGCATTTGTTCGTCCCATTTCGAGACAAAAGAAGTTACCGATGGTAAGAGATAGCCCAGCTCGGAGCCTGAGGAGTTATCTTAAATGGCGTGACTAAAATGGTGCTACGACAAAATGTCCTCCCGCGGAGCTGGCCGTATGTTGTCCGGGCCGGATGTCGGTCAGGGGCGCGCCAATGTCAAAATCATAATTGATGGATGGGTTTTGGTGCACACATGTCTCCGTGGGAAAGCCGGTGCGAAAGTACGTCCACCCAGTGTTCCGTGGCGTTTGTCCTTATCGTATCATCGCTACGGAACGATTATCGGCGAATACTTGAGTTTCAGAGATGCGGAAAGATAAGATTGGGGGCCTGAATAGCAGCGCAAACATCTGTCCATTCGTATTACGTCAGGCTGGCAGAATATACCTGCCCATCCGAGCGGCCCAGTGGCGTGTGCATGTTTGTTTATATTGCAGCTACCAGATCCATTATTTCGCCCCATCAGAATATCAGTGCGACCGGTAGCCATGATCTATCAATGGCGGGCATTCACACGGACGGGTTTACTGTATACACGGCTTGGTCCGACACAGGGAAGCATTGTCTTGTGTATCTGGGGTCATGGATTACATAGCCACTAATGCATCGTGCTTAACTCTAGTGATTGGATCTTAGCTTTATTAGCCATCGCTGTACCCAACATAAACCAGCCGTGCTACTTGTGTTTCGGAGTGGTTCAGAGTTGTGATCACTTGTCCTGTTGACGCCCGATAGAAGCCTGCGTGTAAAGTGCGAAAGGTGAAAAGAAACAAGAAACACAAAACTACTGTGGCCAGTCGAGCAGGAGTGGTTTGGGGTGTTGCCACCTGAAAAGGGCCAAACAATACGGAAAGAAAAGATACAATCTACCCGCATCGTTTTCAAACATTGCGCTATTCTGTGTAGTAATGTAATTGGAGGACTGTTGATATCGACAATGTCTACTAAACAAGCCATGCCATGCCGTCATGCCCAAACGTAAAAGTGCGAAGTGCCGGTGGAGAATATCAACAAAACATCACAAAGTGCTCTGTTGAAACGAGCAAGCTTTAAATAACTAAAAGGGCACGGTGAATTGTGTGTCTTGATGATACATCCATTGTGTTGTCGGGATGCGTCAGTATGTGAATACAGGAGATAGCGGAGTGCGTTTTCACAACAAGCCCGGTTTGTGTCTGTGCCCGAGGCAGTTTTCGTACCTGTCATATTTGCCTTGCCTTCCCCCAACACTACATCTCTCATACGATATCGAAATTTTGAATTTCTCTTTACTAAATCCAACAGCATCCTTACCACATTGTTCGTCCAACAATAATTAGCAATGGCAACTTTACAAATGGTAATGACCTGGCGTCGACGCTCAATTAACAATGGTGTTTTGGATCTGGGAAAAAAACTATGAAATAAGCGTCACACGAAAAAAAATCCCCAATGGAAAAAATATATAACAACAATACAACGACGTGTTTTCACAGACCAGAGAGCAAGTTTTACCCCCAGCCGAGCCATGTTACAGAATAACGTCTCTATGGAATTAGAGCTGTGAGTATTTCTAGAGGACCATTATGTCCAGGTTCGCTGCGGCGGCTACAAGAACAAGAGGACAAAGTCTGGTAAAAAGGATCGATAAACCCGTGGCGCTTGCCTCACTCTCTTGGGTTCAAGCGACCATGACTTCCGACTTGTAGGTTTTCATCGAGACGGGAAAACACACCAGTCTAACTTGCGCCTCTTTTCTTTGTGATGTGACATTTTTCCCTGTTCATATGTTCGGTGGTGTTGAACAACAAGTGGGTCATACGTCTAGATTGGAACCCGGCATTGTAATGTAGAAGTCGGTGTCTCTAACGTCATCCGCTCTAACGTAGCCTCGAAAATTAGTATAATGCCAAGTCCCAGAAGCGACGAACGATGCAAATTGCCTGTCAACATGGGCAAAGATCTCTGTTAACTTTTTGTTAGATACTAGTACTAGTAATCATGTCCGAAAAGATATAGAAGTAGCCAATATATTTCAGCGTTTTATTATTCTTTGTTGTTGCTGTTGTCAATGCGTCTATGACAATGGCCAAGATTGCTAGAGCCTTTTCAATGAATATTTTAATTCAACGGTCGGGAGGGAGGTAAAAATTTACCCCTAAAGAAAGCCGAATCAGAGGAACATGTCTACTTTGCGATGGAGCTATGTCTATCGATCCACGGGAACATGAAGTTGGTGCGAGCGGCTCGTCGGGGGGTGAGTACAAAGAGGGGGGATTTGGCTAAGAAAACATAACAACATGGTCTGAATTCAATATGGGCACACACATTGCTACGCGCCGAGAACTTATCAACCAAGCTTCGGGAGGAAGGAATCACACACCCCGGTACCCACACACACGGGCGCGCCTAGACTGGTCTTTGCGTCCTTGGGGTACCTCAAACTCCCCGTCTGTTAACCTTTGCGTCGTGCATATTGAAAAGACTTGCTGGTGACTGCGACGATATCACCCCAGCCCGATCTGAGAGGCTATCAAAAGCCCGCCGAGAGAAGCTCTATCCGCCGCGGATAAAGCTGGCTAAGAGCGGAACATGTAAACATACACGGTGTGCTGAAATACATTCTATAAACAAGCACTAAATTCGATATTAACACCTGAGAGGGCCCGATGCTTCGCGCCGTGTCTCGATCCGGGTCACGGCGCGCTAGAGGACGACAAGCGGGCTCTCCTCTCGTTGAAACAAGCCTTTCTCCGGCCGTCCGCCGGTGATGGATCAGACGTCAGACGGCCTGGGAAGCCTTATGAATATTTGCCATTCCCCCCCGCTTGAATCTTACATTTCACATTCCCCGTGCAGCAGCCTACACGTGGTGCAAACACGCCTCGTCCCCCTTTTACCTGCGCGACCTTTTCCAAATGTTTCCTCTGATTAAAACTCACTGCGTCAGAAGTTAATTGATTACACATACTAAATAGGGACCCCATTATCGGTCTCCATGTGACTCTGTAGAGAGAAGCCCTCCATGTTTGTATCGATTCTGGAATGGGTAAGCTCGTAAAGTAATCCAAGATCTTTTAACAATAAAAGAGAGGAGAGGTAATATAACACATCTTACCTTGGGTCCTGTGATCAAGAAGTTGCTCTGTAGAGTCCTGTGGAAACCAGACAATCAAAATTCGTCATTCCCGTCAACACAGAAACTACCTCTGTGGTCTCTAACACAACTTCTCAGCGCTATTTTCAACACTCATAGTTTCTATCATAAAATAAAAGGAACAGTTGGAAAGTTCTGTAGACTGACTTCACTCACCACCCATTTGACTCCGCCGTCCTGAACAGAACGGCTAGAAGGAGCGACATAGACCAGAGGACCCGGGTGAACATCGTGCCTGTTCTACTCAACTACCGATTAGCTACTGCTGATTCCACACCACTGACTCACAGACCGGCGCTTCGCAAATACTCCACTTCCCACTTCTGGCCCGGGATAAATAATTGCCCAGAGCGAGTGAACTGCGAATTTGAAAGGGTGCCTTTCAGGGCGGACCAATGACAGCCCGTCCGAGAGCACATGAAAGGGCGCCGAAGTTAAACGCCGGCGGGCGGGTATTGTGGAGGAAATCAGGAGGATAGGTGACGATCGCTTCTCGCTAAACCAAGCCGTGAATACCTGGGCTATTGTCTTAGGGAGATTTTCGCGGCTTCCTTTGAGGGGGTCGCTCTTAAGCGCCTTTAGATCACTCCCTTTTTTTGTCTGCGAGTTACCGAGAATGTACCTGAAGAGGATCACCCCTCTAAACGATCACCTGCCTCTTCAGCTATGACGCAAATACACCGGAGAAAAACGTCTATCTCAAATATATACATGCCAACTGAGCTAGGAGCTACAAAAGAGTCGGATGTAGCCAGTAATAATAAACTATAGTTGACCCAGACTGAATTTGTTACGTCAGATTATTGACTCTCATCATTTTATTGTATCTTTCTGCAACAAATTTAGTCTTATAACCTCACTTCAAAACTATTAGTGTTTTTTACTATACCTCCTTGTTGCTCCTTATATATACTCATATATGTATACGGTCATAGCTGGAAATAGCTACATACAGCTTTTAATCCGATTCTACATCTATGCATTGGCAATTGAAACCCCTTTATGACGTATTGTATAGAGTTTTTAGGAAATGGAGGCATTCTATCAAAAGCACACACACATGTAGACGGTGACGCAAACGCAGAGAACAAATTTGCCGTCCACTTGTCTTACACGGCTTATCAAAAGGTCGAGTTCTCCACGCACCCGGTTTTCCCATGCAAATAAATCATTCTACCTGGTGTGAATTGGAACCCACCCGACTTCAACAAACACCAACTCTCCGGTGTACAAAAGGAACAGAGGGAGGCACCGATCGTCTTTTGTGTTCCAGCGTCTAATGCGTCATAAACAAAACAAATCCCACAGATTCCCACCTATGGCATTAACATTACAATCATACAAAACGAAATGTTGACAATGCGTAGGATGAAATACCGGGGTAAATTCCGTAATATAAAATAAATCAAGCAACTTGAAGTTTCAGATAGCATCCTCCATCTTTTATCAGTATCTGAGACTGAGTCTGAAGACACAAGTATAACCTAAAATACAAACAATCTCCTTGACAAATGAGTATCTGAATTGACTGAACTACCTTTCACTTCGCCCATGTTGTATGCTTCTTTTTACGGCTGAAGTTCACAGTGCCTCAAAAGGACGGAAGTTTACCAAAGAAATTCTCGAAAGAACTATACACAGGAAATGCAATAGGTTATAAAGGTAGGTAGATAACAGCACTGTTGGTTTAGCGTTAATGCTATCAATTAGATATAGGCTTCCTCTTCTTGTACCGGTAGTCGGAAGATTAATTCATTAATACTGCTATTCAAAGAACCCAGACAGATCCTATCACCCTTCCAAATCTCTAGATTTGATTTAGCGATAAAAAAACGACTATTTACAGTGAAGCCAACACGTGGTATGTTAAAAAAAAATGTCTGAATAGGAATAGGATACAACAGGACTAAAAAATATCAGTAGAGCAAATATTGTTGAGTGGTTCCTTCTTAGCTACAGCTGGTGCAAGAAAGATGATTGTATAAGTTATCAATTTGCCCCTTTATATAACATGTACTAGTAGTAAGCAGTAGACAATTGGTGTACTGAACAGAAGTCTAAGAAAGAAAATGAAGAGATATGTGGCACCCACAACGTTTTATATTTGAATAGTGTTCTTGTAAGATACACCTTGTTCTGATATAGTGTACATGAACTGCTGTATGAACAACAAGTAATTACTCTCTGGGTGAAGGGTAGGTATTAGCGGGGGGCAGGGATGTGTTATGAATAATTAGAAACGGTGTTGGTAGTTAACAAAAGCAAATTAAACAAACACCAGGGTAAAGCCGCTAACTAGGCGATTTGCCGCATTATTACCTTTTGTTTCTTTGTTCGTTGATTGATAATTGCCGAGGTAAAGAACACAAAGAAAAGCCGTATCGCTGGTGAAAAGACAACATTGAACTTTTCGCACGCTGGTAGATTTGGGCGGCATGTCCTTTCTTCTGCGTGCGACAAGGAACTAGTAATAGATTTCTGGCTGAGCAAAATCTGATTAGATTTGCATAATCCGAGCTTAGTTGTAAGTCCCACGTCAGAGGTCTGATTATACAGGGTCCGTTCGCAGCATCTGTGGCGATGTTTTCTAAAAAAAATATCCCCGAAAATCTCCAATCATATCCTCCTAGATCATGAAATGCTGGCAAAATTTCATTTTACATGTACAAAATATAATGTTATCTGATATCAAGTGGTTGTTCTGTTTTGTACCATGAAAATTTGGATTAAATCAAGGCCATTATTCAGGTATGGTTTTCACGATAGAGATATTTACTGAGTAATGTATCTAAACGCCCAGTTTTATATACGATATTGTTTTTAATTCTAATTCTAAGTCTACTGCCAAAGGCCTCCATCAAAACCACGAGTTTCTTGAAATATTGATAGTGTTCGGATGTTGCATTTGCAGTGCACATGCAAGTATACTGCAGTTCCGTAATGACCCGCTGGCGTCTCTCATAACTTGAAGATCTGCACTATATATGCAGACGCTTGGTACATACATGTACATAAGTTTGTATACAACAATGGCAATGAGGATGCATAGTTAACTCTTTCACTTTGAAAAAAAAAACGACAAGTGCTAGAAAACCTTTGTAGATTATGCGTTTTGACGGAACCAATAAATTAAATACAAAACGAACCTGCACCATATCATACCTTGTATCATATAATATGTAAGACAAAACTGCACTGTATGGATAAAATTGGCTTTATTGATTTGCAAGAACTAAATTCATACAAACTCGAGGACACCATCAAAAGGTAAAACTACATTATATATACATTCAAATAAAACATACATTTAAAAAAACAAAGGAGCATAAAAATTTAATAGGCATTGCTGGGCACCAGTCCCAACTGCTTTACCTTCTACTGATAGATATTTGTATAACTCTAGGCCATTGAGGAAGATTGTCAACTTTCTAATCCTTACAGTCACAGCAACTTTCCATTAGAATTCATATGATAATGCTCTGAACTTTATATGTAAGTGATGTAATTTTATGCAGCAGAGCAAAACTTTTTAAAGACACTTGTAGGAAGACAGCGGAGTGCAATAGTGAAAAATAAAGGCACTATGTGATTCAAAAGTGCATGTTATATAGGAGAGAAGTTGACCATCTACTATATACAATATTTGCAACTTGATCAAACAAATTAAAACAGATGTTTAACTTGTTCATACAGTTATTATTCATCTAGATTTTGGTTTTGAATTTTGTATAAAACTCACAGGACGCTTTAAAACAAGTTATTCTGATACTGCGGTCATTTAAAATAAACATTTCTATAAAATTGTAACATCTCTTCTTCACAATAGATGATCCCACTAAGGCACAATCTAAACATGGTTCCTTAATACTGTCATCTTGATTATCAAGTTTGCAAGAATAAGCTGGTTCATATTTTGAAGTGTACATTTGCAGTTGTGAAGCAAAACTGAAGGCTCATGAAACCGACAAAACCCATCTATACATGGTATCAAGGATGGTCTATATAAGAACTTCTTACAACAAGGGGCCATTCAGCCTTCCCCAAGTGCTTGTGTGAAATTCAAACTGTTAACCAGCCTATCATAAGATATGCAGAGGAATGATTGTTTGAGCAGAAACACAGTCTTACTATTCTACAAGACTGTCAAGAAACTATTCTTATATAGTCCTACCACAGTATAATCACAGTGCATTTTGGTACATGTTATTTGAGGAAAATAACTCCTGAGAAGTGTTTTATACAAAGAGAACAGAAATCATCATGATGATATTCTTACAAAGGCACCTGTAACAAGTTATGGTTGATAATTTTTACTGGAATGGGGAAAATTGCAGTCACCTTTACTATTGGCAAGAACATATTAATCATTTTAAAAAATTGAACAACAATCTGTATAAGTACAATGTGTATGTCAGGCAGACAAAATATAGTGCTTGCTGAAAATATCATCAGTGATTGTGACACAAACTGGTGACAAAGGAAAGTTATTTACACTCATACTGGGTATGACAGTCTTTTGACTGAATGACAGTTTGACAGTATCATTTTTCTAACATTAGAGGCCTGCATGAATTATGCAGCTAGTCAACAGACATTATCTTATGCGGTCGTTTTAAGATCTCTTTAAGGTGGTTTATAGCGTGTATATTCGAGAAGTTACTGTGTTATTATTATTATAATACACTGTATCTATTTGTTGACTAACGCAGTCCCATCTTTGGCAGTCTGGGGTTTTTAATAGATAAGCTAAGTAGCTATATCTGGGACTTGCTGTAAATCAATTAACTTTTGTGGTGGTTCTGTTTCGCGGTAGAAAGAAAAAGGAAAAGTTTCCTAGTGTTTGAAAATACAAAGTTGAAACAATTCTGTAGTGACTGGTAGATCATACAAGGGATGCATATTTGCAGTGTTATAAACTTGAGGTGGAGTGGTCACCGCGAGAATAAAACCACCGCAAAAGCTTCAGGATGTACAGTAGTCCAGCACTGGTGCTGGCTATATTTCTGTTGTTTCCAAATTTAGGTCCCGGAAGTTCCTATGGGGCCCGTTTTTCTTGGCGTCTTCGTGCTCCTTTAGCGCAGCGTCTAGGATAAAATTTCCGTTGGCGTAGCCGGGCGGGAACTTGGTGTAGTTGTCATACTCGTCATTGTATAGGTTAACCGTGATTTCCTGTAGAGGCAGGAAAAGAAGAATGTATCAGACATAATGTTTACCTTTGCATATGGTCTGCTCTATTAATTGTATGTAGCCACTTCTGGATGGTCTCTTCCCATTGACCCAAGCATTAGAAGTCCTGTCTATAGTGGTCACCTGTCTACTGTGACTATTTTCTTTTTAAAGAAAATAGTCACAGTAGAAAAAAGTCCATTGAATGGTCACTACAAATAGGTTGGGTTGTCTTGACCATGACTTTCTCTTCTAATCATATCAAAATTGCATTAGATAGCAAACAGGTGTGACAGATTTTCAATGGTCAGTCTTACAAGTTTGTGCTGTAAAAAATGTGAGAAAAGAAAGAACTTATATCAGCTATTCAAGTTTTTAAAAGAGATATCCCTCCATGAAAGTCTAAAAAAAAGTTAAAGCACTTTGTTGCTGCAGTCTTAATCCCACTAGATAAGAAACAAAACATAGTGATGTAACAAATGATGACGGACTGTACCAAACAGAGGAGACAGGTAGGGCAGGAGGGGCTGACATACCTGCTCATCACCAAAGTCATCCATGGGGCGTGGCTGTGGACTTTTCACATCAACCTCATTGTCATCTAGGGAATCATCACTGGCAGGGACACAAGACAAGGTGGGGTTCAGAACAGAAACATGCCTCTAAGGGAGGTTAATACTAACTGTACATTAACTGTAACAGTGTTAGTACATTAACACATGATTATACAGCTCTTGGCACATTTGTGGTGGGTCTGAACATTTTGTGCGCAGACAGTCTTTCAATATTCATCCTTCAGCTTTATTTTTATTCAGTATGTACACTTTTTTTTCACTCTATGCCAATATGTTTGTTATGGTTGGAATCATTAACATTGTTCATAATGGGGATATCTGTTTATTACCCTGTTTATAATGTCAGTAACAAGGGTAAATTCACATCTACTCCAAGATTAGGTACACTTACTACTTGTTTTGACAGACAGTTCACAAAATGACACAAGAAACTACATTGTACAAAGATACACTCAATCACGTAACAACAGGATGACACTTAAGGGAGCTCAGTCAAGAAGAAACTAAAGGCTAGTAGACAACAAGATGGTACCTGTCTGACTCTTCTGCAATCTCATTGACATAGACCTCCTTTCCCCACATTGGGTTGGAACTGGAGAGAGAGAAAAAAAGCCATTAAACATTTGAAATACATGTATGATAGAATGACAAAAAATTTATTTTGACTGAAAACACTCTGCAAACTTTTAATTTTCTCATATCATACAAAATGGGTCTTTAATAAAGGAGGACCCCTTACCCATCAATGGCAAACTGGTTGGTTCCTGGAACCTGTAGAGCATCCTTCTCTGTCAGGTCAGGGATGACGTCCTTGGTACTATACAGCATGGCCTGGGACGCTCGCAACTCACGCCTCAACCTACAGGGGGCAGCATTATCAGGTCACTCTTTTCTTTTTCTCAGTGGGCAGACACCACCAGCCTTGGCTGCCTGGCTGGCCCATGTAATGTAACCATCAATCTTTAACATTTTCAGTGAACACATAAAATCACACCACCACTGACTTTCATACCTTACAAGTAATATTTAAATCAAAGTGTTTAATCTGTCTATTCAGACGTGATTGCAATTTGTATTAACGACCCTATTATTAATGATTTATGTTGTAAACAAGCATCAAAATTCAGCCTTGTATGTCACGGCTGCCAGTCATGCTATTGTTGATAAGAATAAATCAATAAACAAACAAAAATACAGTGGACCATTATGATTCATTGGACAGGTGTTCTGTTGGCTTTGATGAAGTCTGTACAAAACTTTCAAAGTTTGCCTCATGGCAATGATTTATCACTTTATTCTTTAGGTAGCACCTTTAAAAAAATCAGTATCAGTGACGCCTTACTTGGTGGTCCAGCAGGTGCAGACAGTTGCGATGAGAGCGACACTGATAACCAGGATGCCGGTCAGCGCGGCAATCGCGATGATCAAGTTATCGTACGTCACGTCCGCCTTGGCCGGCACGGCAACCTGGTACTCTACCACGTTATAGTCCCGTAACAGACGTACCAAGAACTCGTAGTTTGCGTCAATTAGCCTGGAGAGACAAGGGGTGTTTCAGTACATCCCAAAGCATTGAAGAGGGCCTGCAAGGGGGGGTACCAACAACGCTCTACGCTGAATTTGGAAACCTGTTGATTACGCTTTACGATAAATTCCAAGTGGCTACAACGTATTACCTAGAATTAAAATGCCGAATACGCTCTATGCAAAAATTTTAGAGCGGTCCGTCTACGCTCTACGTAGAATTAAAACAGCCGATTACGCTCTACAGAAAAGGGCTTGCGGGCCCCCATTGAATGCTTGCTGATTGTACAGATACCATCATATACCATGATAATACAATGTACTATAAACATCATGTACCTTTGACTTTTAGGTTGATCTCTGCATCAACTCAGACACTAGGAATGAAATGCTCTGCTGAATATAGTTTTTTATCATCCTTTCTAGCTTATAAACTATGCCTTTATCCTCACATCAAAGCTTAAATCCCGTGTCTGTCACCTTCCATGACCTTTGGCGAGCTATTTTCTTGCTGTGTGATGCTCGCTTTAGTGAAGATAAATGTCCTTGTCATAACTTTTCCAAAATTCTTCTTAATGCTACTTGAGATCATTATACTGACTACTATGTGATATACCTGTACTACTCAGACTTTTGAGGGAAAAAAAACTTACTCTATGAGTTTCTCCTTGTCCATGATGAGGCCAGTTGCTTTGTCAACTCCATGGATAAACATGTCTGTCCTGTAAAATTAGTACAATATACAGTTGGTGATGAAACATCACAGTTTATTCCTTTAATTTAATGACAATGCCTTCAATGAGGGATGAACTTCTTTCATGGCGAATGGCTCCAGTTCACTTGTAATGGATTGTATTTTATAACACTGGGGTGTATATAAATGCAGTTGAAACTTCTAAGTACCTCAACTCATCTGTTTGTTGGTCATCGGTTGTGTGGAACTGGATGTCATCCACATTGATAATGGCCCCTGTGATGTTGGAGAGTAGTCTGCAATACACAAAAAAAGCATGTTACTGCTTTACTAAATAGGTTTTATTTTGCATAGATTTTATTTTGCAGCAGACCGTGAAAGGAGAGTTTTGCAGTACAGTATAATGGTACTAATTCTTGTTTGTCTATGAACAGAATGCACAACACACAATGCACAACTTATGCACTTAAGAGTTGAACCTAAAAACTGCCTTCTTTGACAGAAAATCCTATCAGGTACTTACGCAGCAAATTCATCCTTGAAAGCCCTAACTTCATCAGGGGTCCTCTGGAACACAATCTTCACCCTTTGGTCCTCACGCAGTAGGTAGATCTAGGTTGGACACAAACATTCAAGGTAAAGGTAAACAATTGCATGGTCCATGAATTATTGTGATTACATTACATTTGTACAACTGCTTTGTTTGCTTCTAAAAAGAACATTTTTTTGGCTCAGTTTTCACTGTGACTTCAAGGATAGAATTTAATTTGATCAACTAAGGATAGGAATAAGTAACTGCAAATATGATTTGTAAGGTTCAATGACATTTTACAAGTTAGAGTACAATCGTACATGTCATTGAATAATGCTTATCATGGTTGAATGTAAATAAGAGATGTTGTATTTGGAGTCATTGTTGTCACAAGGACTTTTAAACTTACTTCGACTGAGGCATTATCTCTCTTGCCCCCGACATCCCTCGCGGAGACTTGCAGGGTGTAGTAGCCCTTCTCATCACTACTGAACACCTTGCCGGTCACGATCTGACCCGTGTCGGACTCGATATTGAAGGTTCCGGATGCGTCTGTTGGTGTACTCATGAGGTTCCCCTCGCCGTCCCTGTCAAAGTACTGTTGGCGGTCGATGCTGTAGGTCACTACACTGTTGTTGCCAGCGTCAGGGTCAATGGCCTGAAGAGAGTGCCAGAAACTCATTTGAATATTTGGGAATCTTTGTACACCAATTTATGACGCAGCTATGTATACAGACTAGTAGTTTATTTTTTAACCAATTACTTTATGATTTTCATCAACAACAACTTAAGATGCTAGTTGATAGATACTGGCCATAAGCACGAGCTATACATGTAAATCGAATGTTTCTACATAGAAATTGGAACCTGGGGATTTTTAAGAAAAAAATTTGAATGACTCACCGTCACCACTGTTACAGCATCTCCAAACTGGAACTGTGTTGTGATACCTGTATGGAACAATGAACAATCATTATGGTAGAAGAAAAGCTGATTTATAATTGTACAGGTAAAGCACAGACATAGAACACCTGGGCTATTCCTGGTGTGGTCTTGGGTTGATAAAAAAATGTGTACCTTGCAATAGGAAGCATACCATATATCCAATGCAAAGAAAATGTCCTTCTTAGCTAAATTCCTACTCACATAGTTGTGATGACACCAGTAGGTACATTACCTGCAGAGTATTGTCTCTTTGTGAACCTTGGAGCTTCGTCATTCATATCTCCGATTTCGATGATGACCTCTTGTAACGTCAGATCTGTCGGGTCATACGCGATATCTCGTTTCCTTCTGTTGCCAGCTGAGGGAAAAAAACAACAGGTTTGTTTTAATATGTTCACTAAAGCACGATGAGCTCATTCTGAAAGCAAAGTTTAACTTAACAAGAAATCAGAGATTCTTTTTCATGTGTGCAATGCTGTTGATTCAGATAACCAAACTGTAGAACCAAATCATACATTTTCAAGTATTGTTAATTTGTTACAGTCTGCAAGAGCCTTTACAAACTTTTCCTGGTACACTAAAATGTCTCACATCTATAAAACATATATACATGTATAATATTAATAGTTACCGGTAATAGTAAACATAGACTTGGTCCCTCACAAGAAAGTACAGGATTTACTGGCTTTAACTAATAACTTTTGGTAACTTAACTATCATTGTAGAGTTCAAAATCAGTTTCCCAAGGTATGGACATGTTTTGCCATAATAATATCAAACATATCAAGTGTAACTAACCTGGAACAACATAGCTTGCATTATTACTGGCCTTCACCACCAGGGTGTAGCTAGCCTGAGCTTCCCTGTCAAATGTTCTTGTTGTAGTGATCATTCCTGTGGTCTTGTTTAGGTTAAAGTAGCCATCGGGATCTCCTCCTGTTGAAAACCAAACAAACATCTTGGAATTAAAATCATATTTGGTAGTGAAAAATTATATTGAACTTGCTTTATGAATCCATTGACAGAAATCCTAGTAAAACAAGATGATACAATCATGATGAATTACACATTTCAGTGTTTAATAATATGTTTAAAAGTATGTTACTGCTTTACAATTCCATACGTGATATGTTTCTGCTTACTGAAGGAAAACATATTGTTTTTGCTCAATTTCTTCTTCTTCTCCAAACAAATAAGGTCAATGACCTGAACCAGACGTCTGTCACCATGATAACTGGTTTTGGGTTACATGTTGCAATTTTATAGCAGGAGGGATTTAGACTCCTGTCACCATATATGAATGTGTTTGAGTAAGAATTAACAAAGCAGACCATATGTGAAGGTAAACATTATGCACTTGCTTGGCAAATGTTACCTTTCTAGTTTTAAGTCCTATTTCATTGTCGGTGTTAAATTGTGTCAAAGCTATACAAGTGCCACCATTAGGATTACATACCGACTATGTAGTAGAATATTGTAGCTCCCTCATCAGCATCTACTGCATTCAGTACAGCCCCGACCGGAGAGCCAGGGGCAAGGTTCTCATCAACTGTTAGTGTCTGCGGGACAACTTCTCCTGTCTGAGAGGCAATACAAAACAGATCAGAGCTACTATAATACATAGCAATATATGTTTGGGACAGGTAGTTAGGAAGGACTGATAACCTTACTCCTTGGATTAAACATTCACTTCCAAAGAACTACATGGTCATGTACTTAAAATGTTTGAGTAGAAAAGACTGCAGTGTGTACCTAGTGATTCATATCATTAAGCTGAAAGAGGTGAACTGTATACACTACAACTCAATATCTGAAGGAAGGAAGGAAGAAAGAAAGAAAGAGAAAGACAGAAATAAAGAAGAACCTATATTTCAGCACCAAGGACAAGTCTAATGTCATTTCCTCTTACATGTACATAGTGATGCTTCTGTCAATCTAAGCCTTTTTTTTCTTATATATGGCCTAGAAAAGGTAGAATGTAAGGAAAGATAGTTGTCATGTTGTTAACAGGCACTTTTAACTGACACAAAAGGAAAAGGTATTCTAGGAGTAGGGAATGATGATTGAGACGTAAGGAACAAACAAGTAGTTTACAAGTGACTTACCACAGGGTCTAGTGGTCGGTTAAACACAGGGTCTGTATCAGGCACATCTCCAACCTGCACTCTTACCACTGTGTTCCCTGTCAGAGGGGGGAAGCCTGCATCCTTGGCTTGAATATGCAGCTGGACAAGTAATAAAAGAGTTCAGTTAGAGAGTGTGTCAAGCTACTGTCAACTGTAAAAATTCAAATAATCATAGTCATAAACTAGCCAACAATGCCAAGCACAAGGCCACAGTCATGAACACAGCACAGCTATAGGGAACACCAAGCCATACTTACAACATACTGAGCCTTCTCCTCTCTGTCCAAGACAACTTTAGTTGTCAGGTTACCACTGATGGCGTCCAGGGTGAAGTTAGCCCTGTCTCCGTTGTATTCATCGCTGGGGTCAAAATAGTACGTCACGTTCCCGTTTTGAGCCTCGTCTTCATCTGTGGCGTGAAGTCTCACCACAAAAGTACCCACAGGTTCGTTCTACAGGAAAAAGAAACTTAAATTATCAAGACGGCAGTCAAAATATGGACATTATGTTATCATAGATATGTTGATGCCCGAGGAGTACCAATATCTCATACCACAGGAATATGAGTCAATGAATTTCTTGTGTGTTACATTTATAAATGTTTTACAATGATTGTATCTTCTATATTAGGAGTAACACTCAAGAAAATACCTAAGACGTAAGTAGATTTTTACTTAAAAACTTTTTTTACATGTCTTTAGAGAAAAACAATAAACAAACATCTTACCTCAAGTACTTTTATTGTGGCGTTGGCTGACGGGTAGACAAAGATTGGAGGATTGTCGTTGGTGTCCAAGATCTTGACCCTAACAATGGTGGTGCTGGACATAATTGGACTGCCTTTGTCAGAGGCTAGAACTGTTATGTTGAAATCCTGTCCAGGAGCCAGACCCGGCGGTTTCACTGTTTCCATTTCCCCTGAATCACGATCTATTGTGAACACTCCATCTGGAAAGTAAAAATTGGAGATTAAACATCTGAGGGAAGTGTTTGCGTTTTTGTGAATGAAATGGAACTGTGGCGGGAATTGTATGAGGTTATTTTATTGGGTACTACACACATTATCTAGCACTTCCAGAATTCTTCCACATAATGCCCACTTACTAGTACTCCCACCTGATTGAAGGTGTTTCCACCTTCAGATTTGGTCTCCCTGTCAATCAACTGTAACTAGGTACCTACCCACTCTCCCTGCAACCATTTTTACCCTGAGGTACTGATTCAGAAATGAACATATTTTGCATAATTTAGGGAAAGTATATCTACTCAAAATGGGTTACATGCTGGAAAATTTCTGGACTTTTACCTGCATTGCCATCCACAATGGTGTACTCTATCTGACTGTTTGGCCCAGTTGAGTCTCTGTCCACTGCCTGGAGAGTGATGATAGACGTGCCTCCAACCACATCCTCCTGGATGTACTCAGTGTACAACTTCTGGGAGAAGGTTGGAGCTTCATCATTCACATCCAGCAACGTTATCGTCACCTGAAACAGGAACAACAAATCAGAGATTTCAGACTTCCGAGTTTTCACGACCTTCAAGTTTC